GGTACTAGTCAATTTTGTGTCGTGTTTGACACGTGTACTCTAATCGACGATCCAGAACTGATAAATGACTGCATTGAAAGTGAGAGCTTTTCCGATATTTTCTTCTTGGATGAGATAATTCAGAATTCGCTCCTCCCTATTCCAGGCTCCCTCCATTATTTCTCTCAGTCATATAAATGTTGCTTCAGGGCTTGTTCATATCGTTATTCCTTATCGAGTGTTTTATGAGCTGGATAATATGGAGAAGATATCGTCCACCTCACCGTCGGGTGTGCAGTTACGTTCAGTGAGTTCCGAGTGATTTGTTTGCTTGTATAGAATACAATTTATTATTTTAGAGAGCAACTCGACTTGTACACAAGCTGCGAGATCTGAGATCATCGCCGTTGGTTCACTGGGAAAGTTCATCAGAGGTGCGTTGTTATCCATTAACAGTTCACCATGAAATCTTGGGCTAATACAGAAAGTGGTGTTGGGAGGATCATACTGGGTCGTTCAAGATTGGAGCTCTTTTGAAATCGCAACGATTCATGTGGTGTTTTGCTCACATTGGTGACCATGCGATTTTGTGGTGTCGCGATCCAATTTGAAACGTATCCCAGAACGCCAAAAGATAGAACTCATCTTAAAATCTTTTAACAAGTTATACACTTCAGCGCCGTTAAATATCCTCTTTTTCTTTTTACTCCTTTCACTATCCCCTCGATTCTCTCAACCTTTTCCTGAACAAACTAAAAAAAAACTTCGTTTTCCCTCTTTATGTGTTGGGAATCGATCTAGATTTTTCCGTCAAAACCATATCAATACTTGAGCCTAAAATCTCAGCAAAAAGCCTTGAATATTTGGAAAAAATTTGTGCCTGAGAGAAACTCTTCCCTAAGTCCAACACTGGCTACCTGATGCGGGGGTGATATAGGGCTCGATTGTCCTGCAGTAGATCCAGCGCAAGAAAGAGGTATGTGAGAATTTGTAGCCAGGAGAAGTGTGCATTTCAGTCGTTTGCTCCAGTGGATGGATTTGTGACCAGTACCACTGATGACGTCAACGACGATTTCATCTTGAAATGTGCCTACCACATCAAGAGCTTGTGTGAGTTGCACATATTGCGTTTTTCTTTCAAATCTTGACCTGGTTTTTCGTTTTCATAGTAGAAGCACGAGGAGATGGCTGGCAAATGGTTTTTCTCACAAACGACCAGGTGTTATCTCTCAAGGCACATGCAAATAGGATACCCTGTTACAGTGGCAAGGTGAGTTTTTTTTTGATTATTTGTCCTCGTTTCGAATTTTTGCAAGTCCTTTGCAAGTTTGGTTCGTATGTTGCATTCGTCGAAGGGGGAATGGGAGCGATCCTTTCAAATTTTAACTTTTCCTTAACAGGACTCCTATACAAAAAAGCGTACTCTTAATTTCTGCATGTAGAAATAAAAATGTGCGTGACTGAAATGAAGGGACCTTGACATGAAAGCGAAATATATGAAGGAAGCTCTTCCTTAACTCCGGCCGAGGGGGAGGGGAGCAGTGCCGCAGCGGGCTTATGTGGGTCCTACGTCTTTCACTTATATGCTAACAACATAAGTTATATTCTATAAAAGCGGAATCCGACTTTTTATGGCTCTGGGTAGTCATAGTTGTTGACAAGGATCTTTTATGTGATTTGAGAACTTATAACCGTTTAAAAGTAAAACTTATGAAATGTCCAGAGATTTCCTGATGATTCTGATTTGCAGGAGGTCAAAACAATTTTGAAAGGATTAAAAGAAAGTGATTTCCTCATGGCCGGAAAAGCACTCGAAGGTGCCTCTGCTGGCAGAGAAAAGCCGTCCAGTAACGTCAAATCTGCCGATAATATGAGGTAATAACAAAGAATATATATCTTCGGCGACATCAGGAGCTTGCATCCTACAGCTACCAGCTGCCTGCAATAGGAAAGCTGTCGGCATCTTACAGTTAGAGACACGTTAGATGACAGGCTGCGTTCAACTGCGGCCTTTTATCGTAGATTGTTCGATGCCGGACAGCTGACCTTCTAGGCTACGTTCTCTCACTGCTCTGTTACGAGTAGTGGGAAAGTTGTTGTTGTTCATCTTGAATTTGTAAAGCTTGAATGACGTCTTGCATGAAAATTTAGAGTTTCGCCATCAGGTTCGTGCTTAACGCGACCAGCTAGGAAGGACTTAGGATCCGATGTACTCGCACGGCCATTTCCAACTATATGTAAAAAGAAAATCAAGGAACCTCCCTACAAAGCGGTGGACATAGCCGAAATGAATTCTTTGAAAGAGTTTTCGGAAATGTGGAACGGTCTGGTTTCTACATTGAAGAAGAGGTTTGCTTTTTTTTTGTTCAAGGAATTTTTGATAGAAAGCATCAAGATCATTAAGATGCTATTGTACAGGGTGCGGCTAAAGTGTTGGCTTGCTTTCTTGAGAAGGAAAATATATCAACACGAACTTGAGGCTTGTGGGAAGTTAACCAAAATCGACTGAAGATATGCACAACAATTACATGTGACGCTCGCTTTGGGCTGGTCCCTTCCCTTTAAAATAGAGCTGGGAAAACGCTTGCAGTGAGCTGCAGCAGGCTTCAGAGGTCGAAGTATGAATCCTAGGTCATTCAAGTTATTTTTGGAATATTCTTGCATGTTCAACCTGCGGTACTTCATGCAGTTAAGTTAGTCCTATTATAGAAAAGCGAGACAACTCAAATGTAGCGCCCGGTTAGAGCTGCATATCACATTTTTGATGTGTCCAAATCAAACTGACCGTATTGGATAGTTTGAATCAGTCAACGAACTCTATCCATTGGCATGAATTTCATGAAGGTATTCCTTCTTTCCTTGGGACAAGGCTTTTTTTGAGCCGTCCATAATTTATCCGCATCCTGTAGGGGAAGCTGGAGTCGGGCTAAGGTTACTGTATGCCAAAAGTCCGTCCGTTTTGGCCGCGCCTCAGTAAGCAATATGACAACATCAAAACAATCTCCACTCGTAAATGTTGCTCTATTCAGGCTCAGGAAGTGTTCGACCAAAGAGAGAAAGGACATTGTACGACTGAGGCAATCCGTGTCTTGGTGAGTCAGTAGTGGAGATTATCTGCAGAAATTCTCTCACGTGACACTAACTTTGCGCACTCCGAGGGAAGGTGTAACTGTAGTCTGACTCGAGTGATGCTGGCCATTGTTTTACATGTGAAAGGTGAAGGGGAGAACCTTGCATTTTCAAAAACCCGAGGGATGGAAAACTTGGTTAGCCTGGGAAGGAGTCGATCCGGAATTTGTCCACCGGGATGCATGCAGCGCCAATTCCCATTGCACACCTACCCCACGAGTTCGAATTAAAGGAAGCGATTACGATAAGGAATTTTCGCATCGGGGGAGAACCTGCGCCACACGGAGCAATTACTTGGCTGCCAAGGAAGCGATGTGTGGCCCTCCCACGGCGAAAGGTGCTGTGGTTGCTGAGCAGGACCCGCGTGACGCCCCGCCCCCAGTGACGTGACGCCCACTAGTTTTGTTGATGATCTGGATGGACTGTTTGCTGTTGGCTTTTCATTTTGGATGATCATTTCCCTTCTAGCGGCTGTATCTTCCAACTTGCCCACGTATTGCCTTATCAATCAAAACACTATGCTTGTTGGCATGATGGCGGCTATCGGGGTTAACACGTCCGAACAACGTCATTCTTTACCGTCGCTCATCCATGGTCGAAAATGAAAGGGCAATCAAAGGGGTACTATTTTGCTTATTTTTGACGGATTTCTTTGCTTTTTTCGCCATTGGCGTACTATTGAGACCCTCACGTCCCCTCTAAACCCCTGAGATCTATCGTAATCGCTGCCTTTAAGGTCAGAAGAAAGAATTAGGCGTCTGTCGGTCACTTTGCTAGATGCGCTACGCAATCTAGTTTTCAAAAACCAAAGTGGCACTTGAACACGATATGGTCTACGCAAGATTTGCGAAGCCTGTTGGCAACCCAGTGTATCTATCCTCTCACACTACTACAGTGCAACTTAAAGGGAACCTCAGGATCAAAATGGTCTGGATCTTGCGCGCAAGTATGAAAGAATTGGTGCTAAATTGGCCGACATTAAATAAATGTGTAAATACTTTGTCAAAACGCTCTAGTCAAGCAGTTCCTCACCTTCCTTATGCGACTGTGCTGAGGCAATGAGACGCTAGACGTGGAGAGGCAAGTATGAGGGAAGAGAGCGCAACAGATGAGAGGGCAGACACAACCTACTACGGACGGAGAAGTTGAAGCCGTAGGAGCTCTCTTTGCAAGGCTCTAGCCCACTTAACAGGCCATTTCCGTGCACGAATGTCACATTGTCTAGAGGTTAATCCTACAGAGCAAGGTAATCGTTTACCCAATTTCTGCCAGTTTGTGCCTTTAGCCGGCCCACGAAAGAATGGAGGACCAGACGATATGGGCTAGGTGGTCTTATATAAAGAGCACAGTCTATAGGTTCCACAAATGCTTCGCATTTTCATTCCCCACGCACCATCACAACTGCAATACAGTGTTAATTTTTGTCACCTTTTAGCTTCTGTAAAGAGCCAACTGAGAAGAATCTCGTAGTGCTTGCGCAGATGACGTCATGGCTATATTTTTACTACCTTCCTCCTTCATCAAACAAAGGGCAGAAAATGAACTATAAGGTGAGGTATCCATCGGGAGCAGTTTGAACAAAAATTAAACGAATTTTTTTATTTCTCAGGAGTTGCTCAAGAGCGGGCTATTCAAACAGATCAGCACTTCTTGCCGTAGATCTCAAAGACTGATGGAAGCATTCCGATATTTTAAAGATGATTTCCAGTTTATTGAAAAGACTTCTGTTGAACTATGAGCGACTCAATGTGATTATGCGTTTCTCAGTGCCTTAGCGTAGCATTCTTGAGAGTGACATTGTTGCCTTTAAGTGCAGCGTGTTTACATAGCCTATACATTTCGTTTATCGAGAGTTGGTTGTCATTGTATCACGTTACATATCATGTCATATTTTATTGTTATACATCGTAAGAATTTTTAAGAGATAAATTGATTAACTTTAGGAACAAATATGCCTGGGCGAAGAGTTTTGCTCATAACACAGCTGTTGGTGAACCCGTCTTAACCTGTTGAGATCCGTTTAACCTGGTAGCAGGGTCAACCCTGCGTTGCGCAAATTCCAAAATTTTTACGACCCCCTTCCTTTTCGGGGGTATCGGTACGACCCCCCCCATATTAACTATCATGTCTTTCACATAATTTAATGCTCATCAATGCTCATCAATGATGGCAGTCACCAACATGGAGAAGTGGTGGACCGTGGTCAATCCGCGCGCTTTGTCTCGCTCAGAGGAGGGAATCGAGGCAAATGAAGTTTTATTCATTAAATAGAAGGAATTTCCAAATTTTTGCGTAAACATCATTTTAATCGTAAAGATTTCTACTTTCAGAAACCCACCAGGATTTTTTCGATCTCTCAACTTTCCTTACCTTATAATCTGAAAAACTAAACCTTGTAGCAATTACATTGCAATCCAAACCCCTCCATTCAGAAGGTTATATTTTCTTTCAGAAGCTGTTTCATGAAATCGGACACCAAAATTGTTCCGTTTTCTGTGCACACGCGAGTTTTTGACATTCAAACATTCATAACTTTCTTCATAATCAACTTTTTGCAAATGTCTAAGGCTAATTAGAAACTAGAAGATTAGAGCTTTCGAACAAGCACCTGAAAATTTTCCAGCGATCATTTTTTCAAAAATAGTCCCGTTGTTCCGTTTTGGGTGGTTTGGGGTCCGATTTTTGAGAAGGCGCGAGTTTTCGACATTCAAACGTTCATAACTTTCTTCATACTCAACTTTTTGCAGATGTCTAAGGCTAATTAGAAACTAGAGGATTAAGCTTTCGATAGGTGCTCTTCGAAAGCAATGACTCGAAAAATCGCTTTTTAGAGAATTTTTGCTTTATTCTTGGGTGCTCGGTCCTGTAAAAAGTCCCAAGTAGACTACTCGAGTGGCTTTCTATCCACTACAGATGTGGAGTCTTTAGAGTGTCTGGCTGGGTTTTCACATCATTTTTTCATTTTGGGAGTACGAAAGTCGACAAGGGGAGACCTAGTTTCTGCATCTGATAATTATCCTGGTGGTAACTGTAACTTTCGAGTCTCCGAATTTTCCATCTGTGGTGGTTCCAAACTTATTGAAGAGTTGAACTGTTGCTCATAAGAGCTTCCCTGATACGTTAGACTGCCGCTAGATGTAACGTGCCAGAGCCCCTAGTGAGTTCAATTTGAGGACTGACGTAAGGTGAAGTAGTTATTTCACTAGTTTTGAGAACTGCATGAAATTTGGTTTCATTAGGAAGAAGACATTGTACCCTTCACATAGTGCACAGAAAAGGAGATGAAAATGGAGCGACTCGGAAAAAAGTGGATATGACCGCGCGCGCACGCGGTCCTCATAATTTTGGACCACCCTGTGCGTCGGCTTTCATCTCACCTAGTCACGGACTTTCTCTTCTTGGTACGTGAATAGCGACGAAAAAATTGCCATGTGCGTATAACACGCATACATGCACTAGAAGCACCAGCACCAACGCCCGATTCGGTCACTGTAACTGTGTCTCGCTCATCAGATATGCTCCCACGTCTGTAATTTTGCCCTTTCGTCTCGGTGCCCAGTGCCCCTGAAACCTTCGCAGACCTGTCCAAAGCCCGAAAAAAAGCCTATTCATTGAGGTTTTTCACGCTTTCCTTCCCTCTTCTGTTCAGTGGAAAATCACACTATTGCTCCATACTTAAGCCTTACTGCCTCGCTCCTGCTATCGCGGTACCTGCCTCAAGCGTCTTACCCATAGAAAAATTTGAAGTGGCCAATCATGAACAAAGGAAGATACAAAATATTTATTCTCTGTTAACATGATAACGAATTAAAAAGCACTCGGGCAGTTTCTATTGAGAACGAAATTCTCAAATTTTGTTGAATGCAACAATGTCCACGGATTGCACCTGCAACACAAAATATTTCAGAGCTTTCGCTATCTGTCACCGAAACTCTAATTGATCTTATTACTGGAAGACTGCAACAATTATGCAATACTCGCGAGCAATGCGATCAAGAAAATATTGTGCCAAAAGCAGAGTAGGAGCTGTTGCTGGATTCCCACTTGCCTATGATTAGGTAATGGAAGTTCGACTTGTTGTTAGCCTGCTATCTAGCCAATCAAGGCCAAAAGTAGCGACATCTTATACTACAAAATTTTGCTCGTGAACGAAAAGCGCTATCAGACTTTCTATTCAGCGAATATGGTAAAGCTCACAGTTCGTCTACAAGGCTAATTTTGGGATAGTTTTCACAGGCCAACCCGGTTCGCTGCACTAAACCATTTCTACCTTAAAACCTAGTCAGGGACTAGAGATGGCTTCGAAAAAATGCTTCACATTCACGCTTCGAGCACTTATTTCTAGTATTGAAATCACTCACGTGGCTTTCAAAATCTCCGGTGATTTTGTCGATCAAGTCGTCAACCGACACTTTGTCGTCCTCGATCACGCAGATAATTTGTAGCTTGCTGATTCCTGAAAGCAATATTGATAGAATTTTTGTACCTTTTCGGATGTCCAGAAAATTTACCGTATCCAATTGGGAGCATTTTGGCGCCTCCCCACACGAGGCCGTCCATTTCAATGCCACGCACAAGAGTTTCCATCTCTTTCAGATCTGTCTCATCATCCCACGGCTTCACGTCAAGAATCACGGAAGACTTCGCTATTGGTCCCGGCTATAATGAATAAGTTAGTCGTTTTAGAACTTGAAAATGATTCGACTAATTTCAATCCGATATGTGTTGGCGTGCTTATATAGAATTTATTCGTGAGAAGGACTAAGCTGGCTCGCAAAATTGAGTCGTACCTTTTTCGACTTTTTCTCAGCATAAGCTTTTAGTCTCTCCTCGACGACCTTTGCTTTCTCAGCATCCTCCTCGTCATCGGATCCGAAGAGATCGAAGTCGTCATCGCCAGCCTTCTCTTCTTTTTTGCCTTCCGCGACAGGCTCATACTGAACAAGCACGATTTCATGTTCATTACATATTTATACACAAACATGGTAAGAACGGCGCCGTAGAAGCCCCCTAGTTCATATTCCACGTATGATGGTCATCTCAAATAATGAATAAGAACCCGACCGCATATGAGTTCTCATTTCCAATATTAGCCCTTAGAGAGCGCTCATACCTTACGAACGTCTTGCAGTTCGAGAGAAGATAGATATACTTCAATCGTATGATCGCATAACCGCTACGTATCTATGCAGCACTCGAACTTGGAACAAAGAACAAGACAGTCGCAAATGTGACCGAATCCCTAATTAACTGCCCCAGAGACCTTTCCTTTCGAAGAATCTAACGCCAAAAGAACACTTCAGCGGAACTCAGTCTTTCGGAACTGATCGAGCTTTTAGGTTGACTAGGTAGGACTCTCCAAAGATGAGGATGAGCCGAACTCCCCTGCCAATAACACATACCTTTGCGGGAATCACTTGCATGCGCGTAAACTTTTCAATGGTTTCACGTAGCTCGGCCAGCTCTTTTCTGATCGCTTCATTTTCTTTTCTCAAGGCTTTCATCTCCTCTTGAAGACGATCTGAAGAACATTCGTGTTATAGATATGACGGGAATAATGGGCGGCGGGAAAATAGAAACTGCTGTTAACTATTTTCCTGATATCCTGTGCACTTCAAGATTGGTATGACAGAACATAAATTTTGAACAGTTTTTGAGAACGTTCTGCGACCCCACCAGCTTTACACCCACACCCTTCAGAAAACAAAAAAAAGAATGGGTGGTCACATTGCGACACTGGAACCGCACAAGGTCCTTGAAGACGACGAAATGTTTGAAAAGTCACTCCCTCAAACAAAATAGGAAAACAGCAATTTCCAAGTTTCGCCGCCGAGGCACTGGTCTAAGCTTCCTTACACACTCAGTCACCACTCGCACAGAGCTGACTGAATGTGAAAGAAGTTTAACATGCATACTTGCATACTGAATACCTACACAACTGCACAACACGAACTGAACCACTACACTTTTGAGACACTACTTCGAAAAACCACATTACAGCCATTTCACGAAACGCCAACTATTTGCAGGGCCAAGCAGCGTAGCAAAGTTGAGCTGGATTGTCACAAAGCGAGTCAGATAGACCGTTCATTTCAGAAGCTTCTTGCCCCCAGATTTTACAGTATGCTTGACCCTGCTGGCACATAATGCACTTTTTTGCTTCATGCGTCAAAACAGCTACACATGCCAAGAATTCGCGAATTACCATCAGTTACAAATCCATGAGATGGGCCTGCTTCTGACAACGCTTTCGCTATAATGTCTTTCGCATATTGAATTGCAACATGCAAATCACCTTTCGGTACCACGTGCATGTCGGCTTTCGGAACGATTTCCTTGCCTAAAATACCACCTCCGTTGGAACACGATACAAGATTCTGATGACTATTGATTTCTACTGGAAAATGTGTGTTTATATAATAAATCTGATAAGAGTATCTCAAAATTTTAAGGCTACGGGATTGCCAGATTTGCCGGGACGTTAGGCACCGTTCATGCATGGCGGTTAAAGCGATGGCGCTAATGCTAAAAGGCAGACATAGGTATCGATCTAAAATTTGCCGATTACGCGATAAAGCGACTTGACGTTATGGCGGATTACGTTCAAAGGACTAGGATGCACATTGATTGAACTGACGCCCTTGGTCCATTCGTCGATACGATATGGCGACGATCCTCTAGTCGATACGCATACATTCCTTTCACCATAACCGCTCAATCGTTAAAGCGCATTAACCGCGACCTATGAACGAGGCCTTAGGCTCAAACTATTACAAAACCCTCGTGAGGGTTACTTCTGAAAGTGTCCAAATTTTTGCTACACCAAATAGCATAGCCTACTCACAAAGTTGCTACAACGTAGTCTTGACCGCAGACATTTGTCCTGCACCTTTCCAGCAACGGGCGAAGAAGGTCAGCTACAAAAGGCGCCGCATACCACGCGCATCATCTAGGGTTTGAATCCCTGAACGGATCGCTCGGGCCAACCTAGCTCCACCCACCGAAGTCAGTCACTTTATGCAGGACTCCTTTGCAAAGGTGACATCAGTGACATTCAATCGGCTGCATCCCCCCTCAGGCCACTGTTTAGACCATTTCGCGTTGAACTCCACTACGATCGCTAATGAAAGTAGGATGCGTTGCGCACCACAAAAGATTGATTTACGGCAGCTTATTTGCTTCATTTCCACGAACCACGAAAACATCCACAACATACTTAGCGCGGTCACTGCTGTAACTAAAAGGACCCCTCACATAATCTTAAAGTCCCAGTCGCCATGCCTTGAGACCTTTCTGTAACCATGTAAACCAGTCCCTGCCAAGCAATGATGCGTGATACTCTATGGAAGAGGGTGCTGAATGAGAATCCCGGACTCATGAGACGTATGTAATAACGATGCCAAAGTAAACAATTTCGAAAAGAACTAAAATCAGGACTATGCTTACCATGCCCATGACCATGTCCGTGGCCGTGGCCATGTCCACCGTGTCCATGTCCATGACCGTGACCATGACTATCGTTGTGTTCTCTCGATGTTGAAGGGGTTACATGAGTATAGACTTGGTGATCACCAAAATGAGCCTGATCAGCAGCACGAACTGCCAAATTTGAACCCAAGAATGTCGTCTTCTCAGACAGCAGACCGTCAATTGAAGACATAGTGATTACTGAAAAATAAATTTATAGTCGGAAAAAAATGAAAGGATGGACTATCAATCAGTACACACAGCTTCTTGAGAGAACGATCTTCACTGCTCTTCGGAAAGAAAAGAAAAAGATGATATGAAATTGCGAGGACCAGGTCTAAACTCAAGTCATCCAGACACGTAAACAAAGGTTGTGTACAAATTACTTCCACATCTCGTGAAACCGAGAAACAATGGGAGAACAACTGTCAGATTCTGTTGCAAACAAAAACAAAACTTTACTAAAAACAACCCATCACTACTGCTCGTATTGCTGCAGTCCATGAACCTGAACCTAGAAAGAACACGTGAAAAGGAACGATGCACTCTCGAAACCAACGAGAAGAACGTCACAGAAGAACGCCACGTATCCCAAAAAATGGACAAAACACCATTCATTGCGGCAATCCAAGTGTGTAGGACGCAGTTTACATACACATACGTATACCGTAGCAACAAAAATGATTGGAGCATGGGATTTCCTCTCGAAGTCCTACGTTTGACAGAATTGAGTTTCTCCAAGAAAGGAAGGGATCGGTCTTGGGTAGAAGAATAGCATGGGTATACGCTCTTTACATACTCCGTTCTAAGCAGGCCCCAAAGAAGTAACTGCGGATTCGACCCTCAATTTCAAAAACTCTTATTTTTGCTGAAGTTGAGCTTTATTCCAAAAAATAAGTCCCACAAGTACCTACGACCGTCCGCCATCCAGTAAGAGAATGAATGCTCTTCTCCAAAGTTCGCGAGGTTCCTGGGCCGAAGAACTGCTGGATGTCCGATTCCACCTGATGGCGGTTGTCGTATTTTTATCCTTTAAGAAAAGAGTCGGGGAACGGAACAAGTTAATCCGTGGGTCGCGGATCTTGGCGATAATGGTGCATTCCAAGTTCCGCCAATGTGTCCTGGGTTACCCTTCCAGCATGTGGTCGCACGCTGTCATGAAGAAGAGGGACTTCGTCCAGCTTCGGGCGACGTTTCGCGAATTCAGCCTGCGAGCCTTCGTGGTTGTGAGCAGTACACCTCAGCGTCGACGGTGGTATGTCTGGCCAACCGAGCGCCAGGGGACGACTATGACCATTTTCGGAGCACTGCCTTTCCTTTACCGCTCCTTGGCGTCCACATGCCGGGATGTCTTGAAGTAGTAGCTCCGAATGTTCGCAAACCTGACTTCCTTAAGACTTCCTGACTAGGTTCATCTTCGAGCTTGCGGTTTCCTTCAGCGGAACCTTTTTGAACCAACGTTGGCAGGTCCTCTCACTTACCACTCCTTCTCCTTCCGCAGAGCATATATTCCGGCAGGCTTCGCTCGCTGTGTGTCCCAGACGAAATTCGCAAAGAAGGCAGTGGCGTACATGGGTCGAAACATTATGGCATTTTCCAGGCTTCAAAAGGCTGCAGGAGGTAAGACTTCGAGAATATGAAGGAATATCATATCCCTATATGGTTCAATTTTTGCGCAGTAGGTTTGGTGCGCAGACCATTTGCCAGGTTTCTGAAATACATCCGCGGCTTTCGTTGCGGACCTAATATTATATTTTTTGGAGTGATTTCTTAGAAGCTTTCTTGTCATAAACACATGATCATCACAGTACCATGTTAAGTTTACGAGTACGTAGCTAGGTGTTATTTACAAGACAAAAATCTGCTTTGCGATTGAGTATTATTTTCAGCATTATAGGAGCGAAGAAAAAGTGAAAGACTGAGCGAGAGCTGAGGGGTAACCATGGGCCTACCAGAGGCAAAAAGTCATGCCTGTCCCTATCAATGAACGACAGCTGCCTATGAACCTCAAGGTAGTTCATGAGTGGGTTACACAACAGGTGGTAGGTACTCCACGTTACATAATGCTCAGATATCGAATTAGGATGTAGCGGTCCCCAATCATGTACTAATTGAATAGAAACAGATACAACTGTATCAGGTTGTGAGGAAAGCCTTGTCGTTTCTGATGGTTCAGATTTCAAGGCATTATTTCTGACTAAATTCTTGCCAGGCAACTATAAGGGAAGGATGGTAGGTCGAAGCGGCCACGTAATAACTTCGTATACGGCAGTGATGCGTCTCCAAGCGCCTGATTCCAAATCTGGGCTTCCAAATTTTGCGCTTACGACTCCGAACGGAGTCATGAAGGTGGAAGAGAGCTTCAGGTCGACTGCCAGGTGAAAAGCTGCGTAGGACCAGTTTTTTTGCGAGTTTTGTTGCCTTTACTTTTATCCGCTACATTTTTGAGAAAACTTTGTACACGTTCTTTCATCAATAGCTACCTACATTTAGCTGCACGAAGAGTTTAGCAGCAGTTGCTGACAAGTCCAGCCACCGCTCCTCGTCAACTTTTCAGGCTCTGTCGAAATTTCAAATTTTGTTGAAAATTTGTTTCTCCAATGGGGTAACTCGGCCTTGGTAACGATATACTACGGTATTCGTTACAAGGTGCCAAGTTGCCATCGTTTTGCGCGAAAATGTGTGGCACGCAAGCTACATACGGACGAAGAGAACAGTCATGCGGGAGCAGAGGCTAACTTGTCAGCAACTGCTCTCGCAGTCTCTTGCAGGCAATTACAGACAAGAGTTGAAGGTAATTATAGACAAGAGTTGAAGAAATAACTAGTATAAATGTCTCTCTAGAAGTGTTGCGGACAAAAGCAAAGCAACAAACTTGCAAAGGAACCGATCCTACGAGCTTTTACCTGCCACCCCGGACCATCACCACTGAGCTATTACGCTTCATAACTCCGTTCGGAGAGTCGTTTAGCAGATTTGGAATCAGCGTCTGGAGACGCATCAGGAGGTATACATTTCATTTCGAACGGCCACTTCGACCTACCATCCTTCCCTTGTAAGTATTGCATTTTATTAGAATGTGCAGTCCTTGCTCTATCCGATAGTATTGTTAGCTCTAGAAGGTCTATTGCTGCCACTTTTTCAAAGCCTCGAATACAACATAGCGTGTTGACGTTGGTAAAAATTAGCTGAAGCAGTTGATAAAACCAAATGTGCTTAGAACTGTTAAGAAGGCCACTACTGAATTGGCCATGACCGAATGATTCATGGTTTCAAGTTATATGGAGTAGGTTAGAAAGTTCGGAAGAGTCGATAAGGGGGTGCTGAAAAAATCTTGGTCTCGTCGAGCTGTGTGGCCTTCTTCTATCTTTTCACCTGATAAAAACCACCCATTTACTTTCGGAATCTGATACGCAATGCAGAGTAGACTCTTCGCAATAAGCTGTGAACTTTTGCTGAACAGCTCGGTCTCGACTAGGGTCAGCAAAAGTTTGCAAAGGTGAAAACGCATGAGGAAAAGGTTGTGCTGCGCTGTCAGCAGTGGATGCAGTTCTCCGTGCACATGCGAAACTATCACAGTGGACAGTATTTTTTGCAAGGTGTCAAAATACCCTCGACATCTTGACACAGGTGCCCAGCAAGGGCTGCCAGAAAAAGGGCCGATTCTTCCTCTGCGATGCACCTCAACCGACGACCGCAAATCCGACCTCTGCAAAAAGTGAACTAGCTGAGGGTACTGAACTGTGCGACAAACTCCCACTCCTAGACCTCTTACCTATTCACCGCCACTTTTTCAACGGTCTGGATAGCACCTTAAAGGAGAAATGCTACGAAATCTAACATGATGGTGAAACGACCTTCGCCGAGTTCATCGCCTCTAGAACTCCAGTACTTCCAGCGAACGGATTGATCAAACTCATATAACGTTGGCAAGGAAAAGTGAATTGTAATTGTTTTTATTGCGAACAAAAGCACTGCGTTTGAGCCGAGATATGCATATCGAACAAGAGA